TTTTTATTATTATTCTTTTATTTATTTTTTTTTTTCATGTTATATTTACTTTTATTTTAATTTTATGATATTTATTTTATTTTTAATTCAATTTATTATATTTTTAAAGTTTATTTTTGTCAAAAATTACGCTTCTTATGACGACAAAGAATCTAAGAAAGTTAGAGGATTCAAATAGCAAACAAAAGACAAGAACAAAAATTTAGTTAATTTATTGCAATTTAGTGTTTCGAATATTGTCAAGTACTTATCTTCAGTGGTCTTAGAAAATATTCGAATTTCCTTTTAATTAGTGTATTAAATTTTTATTTAATTTAATTATTATTTAATTTAATTTTTATTTAATTTAATTTTTATTTAATTTAATTTTTATTTAATTTAATTTTTATTTATTTTATTTTAATTTTTATTTATTGAGCTAAGTTCATGTCAGCTTTATGCTAAGAAAGTACCTCAGCTATTTAGGTGTGTTGTCCAAGGTCTACACCAATGAACTGCTAACATTATTGGTGTTCGCTGCTATTAGTTTTAATATAAAAATCTTCTGACCATGGAATATGTTTCTAAAATTAGTAATCTCTGACTTATTATTAGTTTGTTTTCAATTTATTTATTTTTTCTTTTTATTGTTTTATTTTATTCATGTTTAGAAATTCACTAACGATTTACTATTTTTTATTTCAGGACCGTAATAATGCCCAGTCATCTTGTGCTGGTATTTTTATAGCAGCTCATTTAGGATTTGATTATCCTGGCGCTTGGATACATGTTGACATGGCAACTCCAGTGCATTGCGTAAGTGTTTAATATGACTAACTTATAAGCATTTTGAACTTGAGACTTAATAGCCTCAAGCTTTAAAGCTTCAAATTTCATGATTGCATTGAATTTTTTAAAGAAATTTTAAATATTAATAAATTTTTCTTTTTATTTATACAGGGTGAACGTGCTACTGGTTATGGTGTTGCACTCATTTTGACCTTATTTGGCAAATATACAAACAATGCTATGTTGCAATCTATTGCACCATCCGACGAGGAGCAGCCAGCCAAGCGCATCTGCCGTGATCGAAACTGAAATACATCACATTTTTTTTTATTTAACATTTTTTCCTTACTTTCGAAAATATTAACGGTTATAAATATAAAGAATATGCTTAAAAATTTTCGTTTTTATATTTTAATATTTTTTTGTTTAGTTTGTATGTTTCATTTTAAGTAATATTGTTTATTGTTTGTGTCATTTCATCGTTTCCTAATGGTTTTGTTATGTTGGTTGTTTCAAATTTTTTTTTTTTTTTTTTTTTTGTACTTTAAGTTGCAATTACGTTGACCATCTTTGATATCATATCTAGGAGTATCGCTTTTTTGTATCTTTTTTCTTCTGCTTTGTTTTACGATTTCATTATTTTGCGGTTGCATTTCTGCAGTTGAGAGTTTTTATATTATTATTATGGTCTTGTTGTCTTTTATATTTTTTGTGATTTATTTTCATTCGTGTTTTTCTATTTTCATTTTCATTTTCAATTACTTCGTACCAAATTACTTATTTTTCTGAATTTTTTCTGTGAGATTTGCAATCATTTCAATTTTATATATTTTTTTTAAAAAGATTTTCTCCCATAAAACTCGGGAGCGTTAGATATAAAAATTGTTTTTGCCTCGATGATTTTCAATTTTTTATATTTATTTTTGACAACTTCATAAAAGGTATAAATGTGAAATGCAAAATTAACTGTAGTGTCTAGTGCAAATACAATATAAAAAAAATTTGGAGAAAATTAAAAATAAAATAGGAAAATAATATTAAAAAAAAAATTAAAATAAATATAAAAAAAAATATGAAAAAAGAAAAAACAGATAAAATGTAATAAAGAAAAAAATAAAAGGAAGAGAATTGAAGAAATTGAGTTACAAAAAAATTAATTTTAATTTTCTTACATCTTTTGGTTTGCTAGTATCAAGTAGCAGTTGGAAAAAATATAAATAAAATAATTGGTTAGTTATTTATATATTCATAATAAATTCTTGTATTAGACATCTCTTTTAGGTCATGAAGTTAAGAAATTTTTTAAATATTTTGTTACAGAGATTTTAAATAGCAAAGAAAGGATTCGAATAGGAAAGAGAAAACAAGGACAACAAGACAAGGGCTGAGATTTCAAATAGCAAAGAAAGGATGCGAATAGCAAAGAGAAGACAAGGACAAAAATTTATTTAATTTATTGCAATTTGGTTGACCATACAACGTTATTTCGTGTATTGCCAACTACTCAACAGGAGTAGTCTTAGGAAATATTCGAACTTCTTAATTAGTTTATAGTCCGTATATAATTTGTTTAGACTGGAACTGACAGTCTTAAAATTCGTAACCCTTGGCAAGAAAAAATTAATATTCTTTTTAAATTATTTTAATTAATTGAATTTTTGGCTCACCAATACAGCTGTTTTGAGTATTGCCAAATACCCATCATCAGTGGTCTTACAATTATTTCTTTTATATTGTGAAACAATATTTAAAACGAAATAAAACGAAAAATCTTTTAAGCTTCAGCAAACCTGCAGTTCGTGTGCTTACTGCAGTACTAACGGGTCATTGCGCCTATGCTCTAACGGTGGCGAGTTCTAACAAGTGGATTATACTGGAGTTGTCAAGATGAAGAGGAGGTAGAATCTATCAATCACTTTCTCTGTCTCTGTCCAGGACTTCAGACAAGGCGACTTCAATGTCTTGGGGATCTGACTTAACGGATCTCCTCAACTTCATCTGGAAAACTAAATGGTTTAACAAGGATTACAAAGGTTAGCAACTTGCTTCTCCCGGTAACATTTTTTGATGGCATCATAATAAGCAATATATGCCTCCGAGTGGGCGAGCTGACAACTGTCAATACGCGCCCTCCGAACCTAACCTAACCTATCCAATATTTTCTACAAAATTTAATCTATTAAAACAACTCCACAAATCTTTAAATCCCATTTAAATTTTAAAGAGTTTTAAAACCTTCATAATTTTTGTTACAATCCATCCTAATCAATTACTTTGTCAACCCAAAAGCATGCGACGAAATCGGGTATATTTTGTTACAATTCTTGTTGCTGTTCCTAACGCTTCGTTAAATATTCAAACAATTTGATTATGTATGCAATTCTATCCCTTGTCGTTGGCAATATTGCAACTCTGTTGCTGTTGCCGTTGCTGCTGTTGCTGTAGCTTGTGCTGGTGCTTGAGTTGGTGCTGGTGCTGTTGAGCACAATTGTCAGCGTAAATCTACCATTAGAAAGCAACATTCGTCAGCGTGTCGATTAGCATTTATCATGGCATTCTTTTATCTTTTGTCATTTAAGATTCGATTTTATTCATTCCATTTTTTCTCTTTATTATATTAAGAATGAAGGATACTAGACGCTAAGTAAACAACAGATCCGTACATTTTGAATCTATTTTTTTTTTTTTTTGCATCGATGTAGTTGCAGTTTGCTGCTCACATTTTGGTATTTGTTCAATTAAGTTGCAATTCGCTGCAGAAACCGACAGCTGCAATATGTTCAAGTTGGCTTAAGTGGATTTCAACGCCTTAACGTTGGAGTAACAACAAAATCGTCAGTCGCTGCAAGAGTTAAGCATTTTATTCTAGTACTTCAAAGTTGAATAAATTAAAGAGGGAATGCACAGTATTTCGTAGTTCATTTTTTAAGTTGAATTCACATACGTTTCTCATTCAATTTCTTTTATTGTACATAATTTATTAAGTTCCCAATTTTTATTTTGGTTGTGATTTAGCTGCAGTTAAAATGCGGTGCTTTGACTGGGTACACTGAACTTTTGTGTTGAAATCCTTAATACCCGGATTAGTATTATGTTCAACTAGTGTAAGAATATCTTCAACTCCTTAAAAATTCTGCTGAAAGGAACAGGATCCACTTAATATGGATTCCAGGATATAGCGGATTTGAGGATAATGAGAAAGCCGACAGCCGATGAACTAGCCAGAAAAGAAGCGGTCTGACATTATATTAGGCCAAAACCATTCTACAGTCCTTCATGAAGCTTTGTCAAACATAAAATTAATGAATGGCTGGTATTACGAAGTAGAGGGAACAACAGAACACATTCTGTGTCACTGTGATAGTCTCGCCAGATTCAGAATTCAGTACCCATCAACTGCCTATTCACCAATAATGGAGTTTGGCAACATCTCTCCAAAGAACATAAAGGCATTTTTAACTGCTACGCGTCTATGGAATTAAAGTGACTTTGTCACAATAATCCTCAAAGAATACAGGGACATGGTAACATAATATCCAACCCTTTCAAAATCTAATCAAATCTAAGTCTTCATCTATATCCAATATACCAGCATGAATATTACAGAACATTTTTTGGGACTAAACTGCGTATCCACTAATAATGGAGTTTGGCAACATTTCTCCAAAGAACATAATGACATTTTTAACTGCTACGTGTCTATGGAATTAAAGTGACTTTGTCACAATAATCCTCAAAGAATACAGGGACATGGTGACATAATTCCCAATCTTTTCAAAATCTAATCAAATCTAAGCCTTCATCTATATAAAATATACCACCATGAATATTACAGAACATTTTTTGGGACTAAAGTTATACCTATATAGTTTTTAGAATTTATGCCTTCGTCTATACATTAGGATGAATATTGCAGAAAATTTTTTTAGGACTAAAGATAGATATTTAGAATTTATGCTTTCATCTATACCAAATACACTATGATGTGAATTAAAGAAAATTTTTTTTTGTAACAAAGTTACTAGTAGTTTTTGGAATTTACGCACTGATCTATCCCGGTCTTTTTTTTTGTTTTTATTTATTTATAACATAGAAATACCAAAATAAAAGAATTAAATAACTAGAAAGTACTGCTAGTCGAGACCTTCGACTATTGGAATATCTTTATTAAAATTTAATACAAAATAATTAAAATTTAATATTAAAATAATAGCAATAATAATTCTCATAATTCTTAAATTTGTCATTTCTCATTTATAATTCTCATTTGATTAGTTTATATTATTGCTTAAATATGTTACAACTTCAGTGCAAGAAATTGTGTAGAAGTTTAATAATTTATAGAATTCGTAGGGTTGTAGATCACAACGCCTTACATGAACTCAAATGGGAACACTGGAATTATTATTAATATTTTCTTTCGGTAAATGCGGCAAATCTTATTTGCCAGACTTTGCAACGTTAAATTTATTTTTATGTCAAACACTGAAAAAAAAAATTAATAATTATAATTATAATCTAAAACACCAACACAAGAAAAATTTTGGACAGTATGTTTTTGAAGTATTTTTAAAAGTATTTGCAATAAATGGGTTTAAAGTTTTGGCAATACTATGTTCTGAGTATACCTATTGGATAAGTGGGTTCAGAAAAGTTGGAGCAAATAAGTCAGCAGTGTTGTTTCATTCTTAAAATTGGCGTTTGGATTTTAACAATATGTTTACAAAAGGTTACACCGTAAAATTATCTTTATAATAAATTAATACTGATTTCTGCTATGGATGTTAATACCATATTACAAAATATTAAATCCAAAATTTCATCATTTTGGACTGCCATAGGTTTTACTATTATTTTACTTTTACCATCTCGTTTTAAAGCTATGATTTTCTTTCATAGTTATATTAAATATTACAATATTAGCATTTATATTATTAAAGGAATCAAATATTAATGGTGTGGGTAGGGATTAAAAGATTTTTAATTTAATAAAGAAATAAGAAAAATAAGAAGGAAAAATAAACAAAAATAATAAAATAAAATAAATATAAGAAAAAAAATAATAGTTATTTTGCATTTCATATAGATTAACTACACTAAACAGCTTATTATATTTATAATTCTCATTATGTTTGTATTAAAAGTTTTATTAATATCTTATAAAATGAATATAGCGAGCTGAAAATTTTGGGGTGTGGTATTTAATATATGTTGTTAAGAAGTTGAGAAGGGGTCGTTATCACTATCATTATTCGTAGTTTGTGGTATCGTTGTCATAATTTTGTTAAGATTAAATCAGAAATTTCTTTCAATGCTTTGGAAATTAATTATTAATATTAAAGAGAAGTAGTTATTAAAAATTTCGTTAAATATTGTAAATATGCATTAA